CCAAAATGGGCTTGTAAAAATTTTCGAGGGGCGGAACTTTCAATAAATGGGGTTATTTAATTTCATAACTCCGAGTTCGATTAGAAATTAAATGGGGGTCACGGACTCCCATAAGACTTAAAATCGGCAACCTCAAAACCCACGGGTTCGAGGTGCGATGTCAAAATCAATTACGAGCCAAAATTCAATCATTTGGAACGATTAAGTTAAAGGTGCGATGTTGAAGGTTCAAGAAATTCAATCCTCTAAACCCACGGGTTCGAGGTGAGATGTGAGTATTAATTATGGACTCAAAATTCAAACCTTCGAACGTTCAAGTTAAAGGTGCGATGTAAAAAAGTTCAAATTGCTTGATATTATCTTTTGGACTTCCGAGTTCGAGGAGAAATATTAAAGATTAATAAAAGAAACTCTCAAATTCAAACCTTAGGAAAGAGGTGCGATGTGAAAAGTGTTATCTCAGAAGCCTTTAAACTTACAAAAAGTTACGAGTTAGAAGTGCGAGATGAGTCTGTTCCATCATAAGTTCCGACTTATACAAGCAAGTTTAAAAAGATTCTTAAAGGGAAAAGCAGTCAAAGAACAGACAGAAATGGAGAAATGGAAGTTTCATTGATTAAAAGGACAGAGCCAAGACTTATATACCTTGCAGCTCTGCCCAAAGACTTACAAAAAGAAAAAGAAAGAGAAAGAGAAGAGGAAATAGAGCCTCAGCTACTTCCGAGGTGGGAGGACAACTCGCCCTGAGACCCCAAAAGGTTGACCTCCTGGGATCCACCCTGCTGTGATGGAGCCTCCTCTTGAGTTGTGCCGACCTCGGTAGGCTCTTGGCTTGGGGCGTCCCCTTCCTTCATGTCAGAGTAGTCAGAATCAAGCTCCCTGACGTACTTGTACACCAGGGATTGGGGGCCAGGAGTACCGTTAGGCCCAGAAGCCCACTTCTCAGGATACTTCTTCTTGAGATCGCTGAGATCGATCTGAAGATGAGGCATGTCGGTAGCAATGCCCTTCATCAGGAACTTGAAGCCAGCATTACTGAAGTCTTTGGCAAACCCGTCGAAGTCTGGGTGTTGCCTGAATGACTCCTCCAATAGAGCTCCATTGGTGAGGTGCTCTTTCAGCTCTTTAAGCTCGGTCGTAAGACGTCCAATTGAGGCGTCCCTCTCCTCAAGGACCTGAGCAAGGTCGTCCTTCTCTTTCAGGAGCTGAAATTTCTCCTTCTCCAGCCCCTTGGTGATAGCATGGGCTGCTCGGAGGTGGGTCTTGTGTTTCTCACCCTCCTTCTTCAAAAGCTCGGCCTTGACATCCACCTCGGCCCTTAAAACATCCACCTCGCCTTGGGCCTTTAGCAGTTCACCCTTCAGCATGGTGTCAGCCTCTAAGGCAGCAGAGGAGTTCTCCCTCTCCTTTGCTGCCAAAGCCTTTCTTCCATCCAGTTCGGCCTTAACCATAACTGCTGAGTGAATGGAAGCGATAAACGCCTACAAAAAGTCAGAGAGCACGATGGTAAGATCAAGATTGGGAATTGAGAGTAAAAACGTGACACAAGAGCAGATCTTACCTTTGCAGCGTTGTCAATGGTCCTCTGCAGTACGGACCCAGGATCACTCACGAACTTGGATGCTATCCTCAGACAGCGGTCCAAGTACGTGGCCGAGATGCTGGACACCTGGTCCTTCACCCCGGAACTTGACGGTTCCATCCTGAACTACATTCGCATATCGAATGTTCCCCCCATCCGAGCTGCGGGGTCATCTACCAATTCAGCATGGCTCGTAGGCAGAGTCCCACGAGCCCCAGCCTCCGAGGAGGAGGAAGTCTTCTTCTTCTTTCTTCTTCTCCTCAAAGGAGACTCTCCCCTCACTTCATTC